CCTCTTGTGTCTTCTTGATAGTTTCTATGTCCTTTTCCAGGCTGATATAGTTTTCTGTAAGATCCTGATAGTTTCTCTGCAGTTTCTCATAGTTCTCTTTGAGCTGGCTGAGCTCATTGAGCTTCCTTAGAAGCATCGTTTTGAATTCCATATCTGATAGTTCCCTTGCCTCTATTTCATTTATCTCTCTGTGGGGAGTTCCCTTTTCCACTCCTTTGGGGGGAACTTCTTTTTCTTCCTATTTTTGTGAGAGTCTGTTAAGTAAATTACTTATTTATTTATTTATTTTTGCTTCTGCTTCAATTGGGTAATCTAGATTTCCTGACTTTGTGGATTAAACTTCTATAGTAGTAGGCAGGTCTTTTTATTTATTTATTTATTTATTTATTTTTCCCTTTACTTTTCTTTCTTGTCCTGCCTCTGATGATGTCAGTTGTTGACCCTATATGACCTTGGGTCATTTGTTTGAGCATGCCAGGAGTCTACTGTCCGTGTCTGACTACTGCTTGGGGCAGCTCTGTGACCCCTCCGGTCAGGGATGGACTATTTCTTTGGATTATTCTGCAGTCTCATGCGGGCTCCTTGAGTGCGTTCCCCCCCGCCCCACCGCCCCGCGGCAGGATCCTCCGCCTACCTCCGCTCGCAGGCGCTTGCCCCAGACCAGGGGGCTTATTCGTGACCTCGCGTACTGGTCTGGCCCCCCTGGCCGGCGGGCACCCTGGCACTGGTCAGTTTAGGGTCTTCTATTGTGTGCTTTCCCCGCTTTTGGCTCTTTGGGTGCATTGCTTGCCCTTGCCAAGTGGAGACTACGGAAATGGGAGGAAGTCAGCTCCAGGACTCTCTGGTTAATCCTGTCCCCGGTCTCTCCTCCAGGGACTCTGGGCAGCTCTGTGACCCCTTCGGCCCAGGATGTACTAATTCTGTGAGCCGCTCTGCAATCGTGGGCCATGCAGGTCAACTTACGCGGGCCCTCACCGTTCTGCGCACTCCCTCGCAGGCCATATCTGTGCCAACCTTTGGGAGACCTTGCCATCCTGCGCAAGCTCTCGCCAGCCCGCGTGGGTCCACACACACACTCACCAACCCTCGCCGGCCACTCAGCGCAAGTGTGCGCGCCTGCACTGGGTGGTTTTGGGATGTCTATGTGTGCTTTTCGGCTTTTGGCTCTTTGGGGGTGTGGCCTCTTCCCGCACAATGGAGACTACAGCAAGGAGAAGGAGTCGGGACTCCCCGTTTCCACCTTCCGTTCTTTCCCCAATGCCTCCTTCTCCAGTCTCTCCTCAAGGCTCTCCCATCCAGTCTGCACTCAGCCCCGTAGCTCACACGCGCACAAGCTGTGTGCGGAGTGCACAAAAGGCAGGTTAATTGATTCCCTCATGCCTGAGTGAGATCGTAACTGCAGAGTGGGAGGTGCATTATTACCAGGGCTCCACCGGCCGGCCGCCCTGTCAGTTCTCTTCACAAAGTTTTCCTCACCAGTCTTTTCCTAGGCACCAGCCCACCCTGCTGCCGCCTCTACCCAGAGATCAAGGAGGGTGGCTGCCACTGCAACTTTTGCGTTCGCCCTTTAAATGTCTCTTTGCATCCCCAGCCACCTGTCTCTGGCAGATTGCGCCCCTAAGCTTTTCGGGGTTGCATTTTGTCTGTGTTTGCTTGGTTTCAGCTGCTGTAGTCTAGGGGTCCCTGTTTATGATTCAGACCCCGTTCTTCTTGGGGGGAGGTAACTGGCCGTTTCAATGTTCCTCTGGTGCTGGTGCCCGTTGGCACCCAACCCACCCTCTCGAGCCTCCACCGCACTTCTCACCCGTTGGGATGTGTGAGAGTCGGATCCACTGTCTGTCCGCGGCTCCAAGGCTCCTCTCCCACTATCGTTCCATTGTTTGCCAGGTGATTACTCCACTATTTAGTCGCAATTCCAGTTTGGTCTTGCAGGGAGGAGGTTAGCGTGAGTCCCATTCACTCCTCTGACATCTTTTTCCCAATTCTCGGATTTTAATCTGAACCGCAGGACTGCAGCTGCTCTTCAGTAAATGCAACGCCCTCATCAGGAGGTCATGCTTGCGTCCACTTGTATTCCGTCCAGCAAAGCCTAGTAACACTTGTAGTTCAGGAGCCCTAAAACTAGAAACTATATTCCTCAACTCCTTGAAATCCACCATTTTATACCGCCCGTGGGCGCTGCTTTCGCCACAGCACCCCCTCCAGCTGCCACCAACGACGTCGCTGCCGCCAGCACCATCCTGCACTTAAAGGCTACTTTTCATCAATTCATTCTCCTTTCTCAAGAATCTATCCCATACAAGTGGGTAGGAGCACAGCCGATAGGCCTTAGTTTGAACTCCAAGTGTGAACTTCAGCAATTCATGTAAAGTTTCTAACTCTCTGTTTCTTCAACTCTGAAATGGGGGTAAAGGTACTATCTACCTTATAAGATTGTTAGGTGCATTAAATGAGATACGATGTAGCACAGTGCTTGGTCTATAGTAAGTGCATGAAAGCTGCTATATTATCTTCTCTTATCTGTCTGCCACCTTCCCCTTCAGGTTTTATTCTAGTCTGATATGCTTTAGCATTCCCATCCAACATACTCCCTCCCAGCTAGACTGATGTTTTCACTGCCTCCATATTCATTGCCCCATATTTTGCCTTCTCTACCCAAAAGCCATGACTTCTTGAAGGCCCAAAGCTTCCTTGTTAGCTTGAAGCCAGTGTTGCTCTCTCACTGCAGTGATCCCCACTGCACTTTTGGAACCTGATTAAATTCTATTGTTCACTTTATTATACATTGTATTATTACTTAATTATGTTTTTGTTGTTTTATTTTTTTTAAATTATGTTATATAGGGGTGAGCAAAAGCAGGCTTACAGTTTTGAGTACATGAAATACAGTTTATTCATATACTACTTATTTATTTATTATTGTTTACAATTGTTGCTCACCCTTGTTTTTGTCTAAAAATATTGTAGTAGTTGCCTTGACCAATGTGGCTCAGTGGGTTGAGCATCATCCTACAAAGTGGAAGGTTGCCAGTTTGATTTGTGGTCAGGGCACATGCCTGGGTTGCGGGCCTGGTCCCCTCACACATCAATGTTTCTCTCCCTCTTTTTCTCTTTGCCTTCCCCTCTCTCTAAAAATAAATACAATCTTTAAAAATATTTTAGTAATATTAGACTTTTTCAATACGAGTGTGAGCTCTTTAAGCAAAGGGATCATGCTATAAATTCTATACATTTCTCACAAGACCTAGAATAGTATTCACAGTACTTGTTAAACTTAATTGACTTGAATTGAGACATAAGCTAGGCCCTAGTGGTCTTCAGAGCAGAATACATAATTATAGGGAGTACACAGACAAGACATTTGAGTGCAGGAAGAAAATATTGTAAAACTTCTACTTATTTTATCATATTCTTTGACATTTCTATTTTTGTGTATGTTTATAATGTATATCATACACATTTATTATATATAATATATGTACATATATACATGTATATATGATTGATAAACAAATAACTGGTGCATGTTCAAGAAATTTTAATATTGGGGTTCCAAATCAAAACATTTTTTTAAAATCCTCACCCGAGGACATTTTTTTTCATTGCTTTTAGAGAGAGAGGAAGGGAGAGAAGAAGGGAAAGAGAGAAACATTGAGGCAAGAGAGAAACATCGATTGGTTGCCTCCCTTACATGCCTGGACCCAGGGTCAAACATGCATCCTAGGTATGTGCCCTGACCAGGAATCAAACCTATGACCTTTTGGTTACGGGATTATTTGGTTATGGGATTTTGTTATGGGTTGGTAGATTCCAATCAACTGAGCCACACCAGCCAGGGTGAAACATTTTTAATTCATAGTATTTATATGAATAATAGAAATTTGACCAAGTCTAAAATAGCAAGCCTGAGGTAGACACACTATAATATACAGATCCTGTATTATAGAAACCTACACTTGAAATTTATATGATCTTAATCAGTCACCCCAATAAATTTAATTAAAAATAAATAAAGGAAAAAATAGCATGCCTTTATTTATAACAGTTAATTATTTTTTGATCACTTACTGTTTTTCATGTGATATAATAAGTGTCTTACATGCATTAACTCAAATCTCAAAACAATTTTATAAAGTGTGTGTAATCTCACATTACAGAGGAGGACATTGAAACACAGAGAGGTTAAGTAAGTAGTCCAAGGCTACATAATGAGGAAGTGATGAGCCAGGATTTAAAACTACATCTATTTTAATCCAAAGCTGGTCTTATTTTTTGAAGACTTTTTTTGGTTTAAACTTTATTATATTTTTCCCATTACTATTTTGTCCCCTTATTACCTCCTCCCCTCAGCCATCACCTATCACACTGTTTTCCATGTCCATGAGTCCTTTTTCCTTTTTGCTCAACCGCTCCACTACCTTACCTCCCCTCCCCCACTAGCTGTCATCTCTCTATCTATGAGTCTGTCTCTTGTTTTGCTTGTTAGTTCAGTTTGTTCATTAGATTCCACATGTGAGTGAAATCATATTAACTATACAATTCAATTTCTTTAATAGATCTAATAAGACTATTCAAGTTATCTATTTCTTCTTAAGTTTTGATAATTTGTGCCTTTCAAGAAATTGGTACATTTCCCAAAGCTAATCCTCTCTATTAGGCACTACTGTAGCATGTATACCTCTTTCAGGAGTGTGTGTATGTGTGTGTGTGTGTGTGTGTGTGTGTGTGTGTGTATGTGTATGTATAGAGAGAGAGAGAGAAACTGCAGAATGGACAGACTTGTTACTTAACCAGGGTATTATGAGAACCATATAGAGATTTTAGAAAGTAGAAAATCATTGTAAGAAAAAACAAGTAATTAAGTGATTTGATTATATTTGATATTTATCTTTTAAAAACATAAGAAAAAATTAGAGAAAAGCTGATATAGCTTTCTTAAGGAATTGTCTCTTATTTTTTAAAGTTGAGCCCAAAGTGACACTTGCTTTCTATTTTTGCAGTTGTTTCAGAAAATATGACAATTGAAGAAACAAGTACAACTCTTTCACAACAAATAGATTCAACAAACCCATCCCAAGTTACTGGACTAAAACCACAGAAGACTGTATATTCTTCTACAATGATGTCTAAAAGCATGCCTGTATTTGAAACTGATTATACAACCATATCATATTCTAATAAAACATCTCCACCTCTGGAAACAATGACTGCACCAAAATTTTTAAAGACATACATAGTTGAGACAGTTACATTTGCAGCAGACATTTTGTCTACTTCAGCAGCCATTGTTCTACCTACCAAGAATACTTTCATAGGCACTACTACCAAGTCCACAAAAACAACTGAATCCCCATCTTCAGAGAGCACAATGACAACTAAAAGGACTGGAACCATTGTTACTGAGACTTTTCATCCAACTACAGCTACTAATTTTCTATACACATCCGGATTTACCAAGAATTCAATTGTATCTAAAACTTCAGTGATTGGATCTCAGGCGGCTATTATGAAGACAATGTCTTTATTCTCATCTAGTGAGTCAGCATCCATGTCTACAATATCTTGGCCCAAACACAGATCCACAAGCATTAGAGTACTCCCTAGCTCTACAGCTAGCCAGGAGTTTCTTGCATCTACAGTTGCTAGAACTGTACCTTGGTCCACGGTGAGACAGACTTCTACTCACATTGGGACTGCATCAGCATTTCCACCTGAGTCTGTGCTTATATCCACAGCTGCTCCAGTGGATACTATATTTCCTAGAAATCAGACAGCATCTACATTGGCAACGACTGATAAGGAACTGTCATTCACAGTTCATTCAATGACACTCCCAACTAAGCCTATTGAGATGACTCCTGAGCTAAGAACAGCTGAAACAAAATTGACATCTACAAATTTCCAGGATATCTCTTCACCCAGAGTGGAGGATACAATATCTATCTCCATGCCAAAAGAGGCATCCTTTACATCCCTTTCTTTCAAGACATCCTCTTCATTCACTGGAGCCCAGAGTACACAGACAGTTATTGATGCTGAGACTACACATAGAGCCTTGACTCCTGGAATCACACTTGCACATACAGCTGAAAATATGCTTCCTCCCACAGTGTCTGGGCCAGTATATACCCATAATACACCCACAGGTGGTGAAAACACGTCGTCTTTGATTTCCACTAGACCACCTTCTACATTCAAGGCATCTGAGTCTGGCCCCACATCAAGTGATGAAGGTGCCCTTCTATTCACTAGTGAGGTCACTTGGACTTCCAGACCAGGCCAGACCCTATTGACATCAGTATTCCATGGCAATACTTCTAACACAGAACATTCATCCACAACTACTAATATTATCCCAACAGAAGCATTCACAGAAAGTGAGACTACGACTACCACTGATGGTATTATTACTACTGATGCCATTATTGACAGATATACAACAGCTTTATCCAATTTGACATTTCCATGGTTGGTTAATTTCTCCATAGTTTCTGGAACCACATCTGTAACCAAACTGCCTGAGTTTAAACTTTCTACCTTACTACTAAGAACCACCCCTGTGTCCACAGTAGTTGGAAATGAACTTCTTTCAACACCAAGGAAGACAGTTGTTCCACCAGGACATATAGTATCTACCCTTCCTGATATTAAGCCAAATTTTTCTACTGAGGAGAGTGCTTCTGAGACCACACAAACAAAGATAAAAAGTACAATTGCATTTGGAAAGACAACAATCCCTTTTCCAGAGTCTGCAACAACACCAAGATTCAATGCTACTGTGACAAGGAAAGAAACAACTTCCCATTATCTTAAGGGAAGATCAACTATAGCAGCAACAACTAAAGTTTCTCCATTTGTAACAATGCTGGAAGCAACAAATGAGTCTGTACAAGTGTCAGCTAATGTCACCGTTACCCCTTTTCCTGACTTAGAAATGTCGACTACCCCATTGTATAATAAAACTGCAACTACTGAGGTGAGAGGAAGTTGGCTTTCTCCAAAATCAATGAAAACCACACCTAAGACTTTATATGATGGAACTACAGAAATTTTTAATTCCACCCACACGTACACAACAAACTGGAGTTCAGAGACTCCACCTAAAAGGAATCCAACTCCATCTCCCACTTCTGGGAGCACAAAGACATTCCCTGAACCCCTGGTTTCTTCTACCACAAGGATATTGGAGAGCAGTTTTGCTACTATCCCTACAGACAGGATAGCTATGTCCTTGTCTACTGGTATCTTGCCTCCACAGCCTACAACTACTCATTCCTCAGCATCTCCTGGGCCTATTAGCCATATTTCCTCATTGCCACTTAATGTCTCTGGAGTCACCTCTATCGTGGTGTCTGAGGAGACTATGTCTGAACCTTCTGCACTAGAGATGGCTTCTTCCACATCTGTACTCTCAGATGTCTCAATTCTGTCATCAGGTACAGTGACCACAGCATTGGTGCCACCAATGGATCAGACTGCTTTCACAACAAGCAATAGCATGTCTACCCACAGAGACTTGATTCACACCACTTTAGAAGCCACAGCAAACTCTGTCAGGATGACACTCACAGAAATATCCTTTCTGACAGAAACTCCAGACTCTTCACTGAGACCTACCACTCCTGTGGAAACTAAGGCTAAGACTACCTTTCTCTTCACCTCAGCTGACACAGTAACTTCATACACACCCACTCTTGCTTGCTCTAAATCTCTCCCTGACAATATTTCTGTTGTGTCCTCCACTCATATGATCTCAATTATGTATACACCAGTAGCAATTCAGCCCATATCTTGATTAGAGGAGACTTCTAACTATGCTTCCAGCTTTCCACATACTTTCAGTGGTAGTGGACATGTTGTTAGCCTGGTTACTGACACCACAGAGACTTATGTTATTGATGAGACCATGCCCTCACACACCTCTGCCAACAAGCTTACTACTTCAGGTAGTCACATTTCTTAATTTTCCACATGTCTTATAAGCACACTGGTCCCCACCCTATAAGTATCTGACATTGCTACCTTGTCTTTTGACAAAGAGCAGATAACCACCTCCCTAGGAAACACCTCTGGAACTATGGAGGTGACAGAAATGTCTCCATCAAAGAGTCCTTTTATTTCGGAGTCCCAGACTACTTCATCTTTGGAAATGACAGACTCAGAATTTGCTGAGACAACAAAAATTTCAAGTCATCACACACATTCACCTTCAGAGATTCTATTTGTGACTCCACCTGATTGGATTTCAGCTTTATCTCCCACTTCTGGGAGTGCACAGTCTACACCTACCACCTGTACCTCACCTAACACACATGTTGACATTTCAGAAATGTCTACCAGTCTTGGGAAAACAGCTCTCCCTTCACAACCTCTGACAATTACATTTTTCTTTCCTGAAAAAGAAAGCATGAGTGCCTTTTTAGTATATACTCCCAGGATTGAGAACATGACAGTAAGCAACACCTCTGTGGCTCACCCTTTCTCATACCACTAAAATACTTCCTTTGTAGATACTGTAACTTCCAGAACAACCAGAATATCAAATCCTATAAACATAAACACAACCCTTTCACATTTGCTTTCACCCAGGACTAAACCTGAGGTGACTTCAGCTGCCTCTCCCATTTCTGAAAATACACAGACCTCCCCTGATCCCCTGTCTCTTTCTACAACTGGACTATCTAGTGCCAATTTTACAATTATCTCTACTGATGGGATTACTACAGTCCTTTCTGCTCCCAGGGTAACTATGGCACTTCTTGGTAAAACCTCTATGGCAACATCCATTCCTATCTATCAGATGTCCTCACTGCCAATTAGTGTCACTGCCTTCACCTCCAAAAGAGTTTCTGACACTTTAACAACATCGGTGACCAAATCTTCTAAAACATCACACCCAGATTGTTTGAAAAGTCCCTCTATAACCACTTCTGGGCCTGAGTCTGAGATGTCTTCAATGTTAGTTCATGACTCTGCTTTCTCACCTCTAGCTGTTTCTTCTGATACTTTCACAACAGTTGGATCATTCTCTACTTTATTATGTTCAATTACCCCCAGTACTACTATGAATGTACAAACATCTACATTGGATGTCACACCTGTGACACATGCTGGGCCTACTTCAAAAAGCACAATGATTTCCTCTACTTCATAAATTACAGAGAAATACTCCATGATCATACCTACATCCTTACCCTCTCCAACAGAGCCACCTTATTCTTCCATAAAAACCATCCCAACCACTCTTATTGCTGGGGCGGTGACTCCATTTTTAGGCACCACTGCCTCCTTTCTACTCAGTTCTAAGAACACTGAAGTTATTTCTTCCATTCCAAAAACCACATTTTCACCATTTCTATCAACACCACCACAGTCATCCCAAGGAGATGAGGCTACAACTCTGCGCATATTATCTGTGCTTACTAATAGCTCCCTATCTACTGTAAGCAGTGGTAGAGCAATAATTCTCACAAATACTTATTCCAGAATTGCTGCTCCTAAAAGTGTGGTTTCATCTACTCCTTCAGATAATCTTCATGTTTCCTTGAATATTCAGGTTTTCCTATCTTTGACCAGCTTTAATAGCACTACTGGACCCACAAAAAGTATAAAAGCCATGACTTTCCTTTCTTTAAATACAAAAAAAAAAATACTTCCTTATCAGAAAATACTTCAAATGCTGAACTAACAAAAGGTGCCACATCTGTGAATTCCCCCTGTTTCATACAATCCATGGACTTCATCCAATGCAACTCTTCCCTCTTTTACACCATTTCTTTTTTCACCTCATAGCACTAAAGCCAAGTTCTCTACTCCATAGATTTATCTTTCTCCAACATCCCAAATGGTTGAGTTTCCAGTCCTGGGACAAAAACCACATCTAGTAACACCCAGTCTCTGCTTATAACTTCCTGGAACACACCCATAGCTGAAGATTCTCAATTTCCAACTTATGCCACTACTCATGTACCTACACCCAACAAGATGGAAACAGACTCCGTATGTTATTCCTGGGTCTTTGTCAACATTCACAGCCTCACAGACTGGTCTTCTATCTGGAGATGTTATGGCAATGTCATCAATTTCCACATCAGGAATTCTTCCTACCTTGGAGAATTCTGAGAGCCTTTCATTATCAATATCTTCAAGATCTACCCCTACCACTTTGGTTGACATTAAACAGACATTTGAGAAGATCTGTAACTGCAGGGACCACACCCCCATCAAATCCTTCTGGTGCCACACTTCACAATCTATAATTTCAAAAGCTACTACTACAATCCTAATACACTGGATATTATCTAGTCTCTCTTCACATTCCCCTCTGGAAACTGTTTCTATTACTCCTCACATTATAACTTCCTCTAAAATAGAGGTACCAAAATCTACATTTCTGACTTCTGACATAATACCGACATACCCATTTGTTAACCTTACAACACTACCCTTTGCTACCGTAAACTCCATACTCACTAAAACCACTCTTACAGCTACAAGTGGGTGGTATCACTACTGGTTTCCCAACTTATCTACCTATGTCTACAAAAATCACAGATGACATTGTATACATTTCCACATCCCCAAAGCCTTCTTCCAGAACCACTGTGACTGCCAACTCCAGGACTATGTCTCAATCTTTATCCATTAGCAGAATGAGTAGTTTACTTCCTACAAATGATCTATCTATTGGTTCCATGCCTCTGCCTAACCTTACAATAACCTCTATGTGGAGCAGAATCACAGCTGCGTCAGCATCCCCCACTTTAGATTTTCCTAAGCCCACACTGGATTCCCTTCCAAATATAACAACCACTACATCCATGGCTACTGAAGTACATCCACTCTTATCTACAGGATAACACATCCTTCTACAGAAATTTTATCTTTATTACTCTTTTCCTCTTTTGAGACATCTTAGCTGGACTTCACACCTTCCTTTATGTCTATAGAAACATTGACTTCACCTATTGCCACTGAGTTCACAGGTATGTTCCACAATGTGTGCAATGTATCATTAACAGAATGCATGCATAATGAGCCATGTGTTTTCCAAGGTGGCCAGTTTTCTGAAGGCAGAAAAGGATAAAGAAGGGCACAGGTGTTTATTATCTCCATCAGATAGGGGGTACCTTATCCAAATACAGAACTCTCTAGCCACCTTTTTTATCTTTGCTTTATTGAAATGTAATGCAAATGTATCTTTTTACTTAGTATGACATATCTAAGCCTCTTTTCCACCCATTTTGTTCTGATGTGCTGACTCTGACTCTGACTTTGCCAATGTGAATATGGATCAGGAACCTCATCCATTCCCAATAAGAAGATTATAGAGTCTTATGACTAACATATTTACCACATTCCAGAAATCACCAGAAGATATTCTAGCTTGCCTTTTTTGAATCCCTCTGATACAAATCTCAGCCTTCTCCAGTCTTCGCCTCCAGCTGGCTTGTAATGCTTATCAGTGGTTGGGGAGTATTTGGCTTCTATATTGCTCAAATTTTGGATGTTCCTTCAACTTTTAACATGTAATTGAAATTTGATAGGGTAGACAAAAGAAAAAAGGAACTACAGAGAAAAACCTGAAGCAGAAAGAAAGACTAGAAAAAATAAACATTTCTTCAAGACAAATGATTTTGTGAGATTACGTTTAACTTGGCTGTTAAATGGATTGGAAAACTGTTGATCAATGAAAATTGAGTGTTTAAGAGATTTGTAGAATATCTATTAACTGCATAAGGAACTTCCCAAATAATTAAAGCAAAAATATGATGGTATACCCTGTTTTGCTTGTTTTAAAAAATATTTTTATTTTTTTCAATTACAGTTGACATTCAATATTATATTGTATTAGTTTTGGGTGTACAACGTAGTGGTTAGATGGTTATATACTTTACAAAGTGTTCCCTTGATATTTCCAGTACCTGGCACCATACATAGTTATTACAGTATTACTGATTATATTTCCTATGCTGCACTTTATATACCCATGACAATTCTGTAACTACCAATCTGTACTTCTCAATCCCTTTACCTTTTTCATCCAGTTCCCCAACCCCCATTCTCTCTGACAACCATCAGTCTGTTCTCTGTATCTATGAATCTATTTTTGTTTTGTTTATTCCTGTTTTGCTTTTGAACATGAAGCTAAAATGCTGGGTCTTGACCTGGGAGTTAAATTAAGCTAAGTTTAAGAATAAGATTTCACTGTTTAGTTTCTTTAAAATAAAGAGAATTTTGACCAAATTTATAGAAGTTAAATGTCTTGAACTAAATAAATAAAATTAATCTCCTTATTTTTAATTACAGTTTCTTTCTACAATATTGGAATGAGCTTCTCTGTCTTTGATGAAGAGCCAGTGATCCCTTTTACCAGTGTTGTAAATGAATTAGCAGAAAATTGGGTATATTAAACTGTTAAATATTTATGGTACATGTAAAATATATGAATATATGTGTGTGTGTGTGTGTGTGTGTATGACAAAGACTGAGTAGATTAAAAGTAGGCTTTACTTTTTCTACCCATATACATTTCACAGCTAATTAGTTTTGATGTTTTTGCTGAAAATTTATCCACTCTGTAATCAACACCATGAGGATGTATACAGTTTTTCTTTCATAGTGCCAATGTTGAAAGCTTTTATGAGATGTTAATATTTTAATTTTTTTAGAAGTGCATGTTTTCCTCCACTTACACAAATTCTGGATTTTTGCAAAATTTTCCTACCTGGGGAAAGTAGGAGAGCAGTGATAACAAAATCTGTGCCATTGTATTTAGATATTTTTGTTTTCTGCATTTTAACTTTTTCTTCCACATAATAAATGTTTTACTTATCCTTACATTCTTCTGATCATAAGAGTACTAAATACTCTCTGTAAAAATCCAGAAACTGAAATCTGCAACCCAGAAGTTATATGTCCCTTCTACTACTGCTCTTTTTATTAATTACTCTTAAACAGTTTGAAGTATATTCTTTTGGATCTTTTCTATACATTCAATAACATTGATGCATGCCTGTTCTTTTACAAAAATAATGGGAATCATACTAATTATGCTAGCTTGCTTTTTTACACTTAACTATCTATCTCTGAGCATATTCATGATTATAAATATAGACACCTCATACACTTTAACAGATGCATAAGATTTCCTTAGATGATTGTAAAGTAGTATTTTTTAATCCAGATATCTATTGGTAGCCATTCACGTGTTTCAATTTTTTTCTAGTTGGGAACAATGCTGACAATAATGCCCTTGCAATAAATTTTGGGGAGGCACTTGAGTTTCTATAGGATACATTCCTAGAACTGTAATTCTTGAATTATAAACATTTCACATTTTAATAGCTATTGCTGTGACCCATATAGGTGACATAAACTTGCATCCCTCCTAATAGTAAATGGTCATATCTATTTCCCTTCTCTCCCCATCAGCATTTATTTTCAAGTGTATATGACATGAATGTAAGTGCTTGACATGATTAAGTATATTTGTCTACTAGGGTTGCCATAACAATATGAAGCACTGGGTGGCTTGAACAACAGACATTTATTAGTTTGGCCAAAAAGTCTATATGGTTTTATCCATAAAATAAAAAACACATTTTTCATTTGCACCAATAATTTTATTGATTTGGATATTTTGAGTGTGTTGTCTATCTCTTGTGTGGTATAATGTTCATTGTCCTCGATTAATGTCTCGATTTGATTGCTATCAACTTCAACTTATCTACCTGACCATGGAGAATTGTCCAGTGAGAAATCTCCACCATGAAACTTCATCAACCACTTTTGACATGTTTGATCATTCTCAGTACCTTTTCTAGACACTGCACAAATATTTTTGTGTGTGTGTTTCAAGCTTTCTTGAAATAATAAAGCATAATATGCTGAAAATGTTGCATATTTTCTTTTATCTTCAATATTAAAATGGCTACACAAAAATTCACCAATTTTGATAAGTTTTTAAAAAATGCATTCTGATATGTCAGTTGTCACAATAAAATCTAACAAAATTGTTTTGAATGAAGTTAAAGATAACTAAGTGCTACTAGAGCCATCTTCCTGAAAAACAAAAAAAGCAATGAACTTTTTGGCCACCCCAATATTTTCTCACTGTTTTGGAGACTGGAAACCCAAGATCAACATGCTGGTAGGGTTGGTTTCTGGTGTGGTCTTTCTCATTGGTTTGCAGATGGTTACCTTCATGTTGTGTCCTCACATGGTCTTTTCTGTGTGTATGCATGGAGAGAGGGAGCAAGAAGAAGAAAGAAGAGGAGGAGAGAGAGAGGGAGGTAGAGGGAGGGGAGGGATGAGAGAGGGAGGGGGAAAAAAGGGGAGGGGGTAGAGGGAGGGAGGTCGAGAGAGAGAGAGAGAGAGAGAGAGAGATCTCTGATGTCTTTTCCTATCGGGTTAGGGTTTCAGCCTTATGACCTCATTTAGCCTTAATTACCCCCGTAAAGTTCCTGTCTCCAAATACAGTCAAATTAGGGGTTAGGGCTTCAACATATTAATTTTGGGGGAACAGCATTTAGCTCATAACAGTAGGTATAAACCAAGTGGAGCAGATGAGAATGTTGAACCAACTGAAATAATGAATGCAGCTTAATAATCACAATGTATCAGGTAACTTTTCTGGGTTAGGATAGAAGAGTGGGAATACTAAAACTGGTATGTTTTGTCTTTCCACAGCTGAATTCTGTATTTCAGGACAGTGAATTTACTCTCACTAATCTGGCTATTCAAATTAAAAGCAGGTATGTGAGTGTCAACTTCTGTGGATTAAAGGGCAGTTTGAGGGCACTGTGGATCTGTTATTATCCAGAGGAGATTTCCTTTGTTTTTGTGGGAGATTTAGGGACTGCTGCATTTGGGTTGCACTGTCCCTTCTGAGTGTAGGTTCTCTTTGGAATGAGAAATAAATTCGCATTATCACTGTAGGGTATAAAGCCAATGGAAGAACAAAACAGAATAAAATAAGTAGGAGGAATGGTGGAATTGGACTCAGTTACCTCTAATTCCCTCTTTAGCTTTAAAATGCTATTATTCTGGAACTTAGGAAAAAATCATGCCTTAAAATGTGAAAGGCTCAGAATGACCAATGTGTGAGGATTTATAGACATTTTATTTTTGGATGCATTTCCAGGAATTAGAAATTCCAAAGGTAACTTGAAATGTTTAAAGTGAGGAATGGTGACTAGTACAAGACTTGTCTGGGGCACAAAATTGGAGAGCTGATTGCAGTGAAATTGGCAGGCACTAAGTAGTGTCAAGGAGACCGTGACCAAAAAAATTGGCCATCTGAGAAATATTTTCTCTGCTTTTACACTGCACATATACTAGTCCTCTGTTAAAGGAATATCAGAAAAATCCCTTTGAAAAATAGGCATGGCTCTGGCATACCATGCTAAGCTGATTTTTAAAACAGTAGATATGACTGCTTATCTTCCACCCTGGGATTTTGGTTTCTATGGAATGTTCAAATAAAAATAGGTTCAAGCAAAATAGAATCAGAGACTTGGAAATAAAGAACAAATTGACAGTGACTAGAGGGGAGGGGGGAAGGGGATAATGGGGGAAAGAAGGGGAAAGGACAAGCGAAGGAACATGAATAGAGGGCTCATGGGCACAGACAATGGGGGTCATTGACTGTGGGAGTTGGGGTGCTGGGGCAGGGGAGAGCAATGGGGAAAAAGGCAGGAAAACTATAACTGAATAACAATAAATAAAAAAAGGTTTATATAAATTAATGGAAGTAAATACATGGTACATTATTAAAAGAAAATTAGGGATGTTTGCAATATACAAGATTCTTTTATAAATCGTGTCAGTTATTTTCCTTATTACAAAACTAATATGTTACCATTGTAAAATCTTAGAGCTTTACAAAAATATATATCCTAGATAGTAAAAATCTCCAGAAACTCACTTTCCCCCAACTACTCCAAAAAACTCTGGTTAACATCTTATCTTACATATTCCTCTAGATTTGTTGCCATGCATTTACTAAGAGAATGAGATCCTACTCATGTGTTTCTCATGTCCTTTTCTTGCTTTAGAATACATCATGTACATCGTTCAGGCCAATACATACAGATTTAGCTTATTCATTTTTATGCTTGCATAGGATTCTTTTGTATGGGTGTGCCATGGTGTATTTATCTAATTACCACTTCAGTTATTTCTATCCTTGAATGTATATTTTTATGTACCCTTCCTGGTACTATATTATGGGATAAACTCTTGGAAGTGAGTTTGCTGAGTCAATGGCTCACCACCATTTTGGTATGCAAATAATGAGGAAGTTCTTTTGAAGTGTCTCCTGGGAACCCTAGTATAATGTGAATTCTAAACTGGGGGGAAAGGTCTACTGTTTTGCCTCAGAGTTGCCTTTCTCCTGAACTTGCACCCTTGTGTATTTGGTTCATCTTTCTATAATTTTGATGCTTTTGATACAGAGACACTTCTGAAGAAGACAAAACCATGGACCCAAATTTTGTAAGTAAATTTTCAAAACAAATGTACTTGTAACCCATCTTATACCTGATTAGATGTAAGTAAATAGCTCTTCCACCCAAGTGTATATTACTAAGCAAGGCTCAATTGTGATCACTGAGGGTCAAAATACATTATCTTCTTTGGAATCTGAACAAGAACCCATTAAGGAAACCATCCTCTGCTTTTCTAAACTCTCTATGTGGCAGTTTTTTGAGGCACATTTTGTAAGCTTTGGAAGTATGGAATGACTTTGAGATTGTAAACAGGAAATGGAATTTCTTGGTTGTGGACTTCTTGCAAAAAAAAAAAAAAAAGCCTGAATCTTCAAAGAGTGACGCAGTTGTTTGTGAGGCTGACATTCACATAATGAATTCACCCTCTGTTTGTAAAGATTTGAAGTCAGAGTGTCACAAAACTACCTTCCATCATCTTTGCCCCAATTTGCCGTACTTATTCCAGTGCCTCAAAGGTTTACAATGTTAGACTCTGAAAGGATTAGTAAGCACACAGATTTTCAGGTATTTAAATATGAGATAGATATTTTGGCTATATAAAACGCAATCAGTGAATTCCAAATATCTGTCATCATTTAAAATACTTTCTATAAATAGCTGAGTCAGTATTTTTAATTTAATACATGACCGATAACATGACATAAACTTTCTCTCAATCAACAGGTGTAAAAGTCTTTTGGTGATAATGTAGTCCCCAGAGCCAGGCTGCCTGGGTTAGAATCCCTGCTCTTCTACTTCCTGACTGTGAGAACTTTGGCTACTTAATTAACCTCTCTGTGCCTCAGTTTCCTTACCTGTGAAATGAGGATAACAATATTATCACTCCTTACAGGGCCATTGGAAAGAAAGAAAGAGATAATTTATCTAAAGTGCTTAGCACAGGACATAAAGCATAGTAAACTCTTGGTAGTGTTTACTATTGTCATCAGTACGTTAGGTTTCAGATCCAGAAGGCTTAGATTCTGCTTCCAGTTCTTTGACACTTCAGCTATGTGATACTGGGCAGATCATTTAACTTCTCTGAGGCTTAACTTCCTCATGTAGAAAATGGGGTGACAAGCCCTGGATTGTCCATATACAGGGCTGGTTTGGGGACTACATGTACTGATGTTTTTGAGAGTGATTTGAAGATGGCAATGGTTTACATAAATATAAAACATAATTATGACTGTTGTTAGCAATAAGCCTTGTATTAAACTGGCTTTTGTTTAAAGATTTCAGTGACTATGCTCTTTTCTTTTGCATTATTTGGAACAGAGAGAAGAGCAAGAGATGTCTACAATTTCCCATGTACAATACAGGTAGGAGCTGAGTTTATTCATAGCTGGTACATTTAGTTCTGATTTCCCTTCCATTTAATTCTGTATGTACAGCTTGTTGGTCAGAGTTGTCAGAAGTAGATCAAAGTATGGTGGTATGGTGGTTATTTTACAGGGCTGCAGTTGGGCTCATTTTTTTACTTTTTGCCATCAATAAGAAATTTACTTGTTTAAAACGAATCAACCCCTGGCTGGTGTTGATCAGTGGATGGAACACTGGCCTGCAAACCAAAGGGTTGCTGATTGGATTCCCAGTCAGGACACATGCCTGGGTTGTGGGCCAGGTCCCCAGTAGGGGGTGCACAAGAGGCAACCATACATTGATGCTTTTTTCCCTCTCTTTCTCCCTCCCTTCCCCTCTGTCTAAAAATAAAATAAATGAAATCTTTTTAAAAAAGTTTTAAAAAATCCAAGTGCTGGCATTGTCCAGAAAAATTTAACAGGTTTGTTTATATTGTTATAAAGTTAAACTGCTGAAACTTGTTCACTGAAACATTTTGACTTGCATTTTAAAAAATATCCATTTTATTGATTATGCTATTATACTTGTCCATTTTTCTCTCCTTTATTCCCCTCCACCTTGCTCCTCCCTCCCTTAGTTCATGTCCATGGGTCTTACATATAAGTTCTTTGGCTTCTCCATTTCCTATGCTATTCTTAACTTCCCCCTGTCTGTTTTGTACCTACTATTTATGCTTCTTATTCCTTTTACCTTTTCCCCCATTTGCCCCCTCCCCCTCTCCTCTGATCTCCATTTCTGTGATTTTGCTTCTGTTCTTGTTGTTTGCTTAGTTTGTTTTTGTTTTTTAGTTTCAGTTGTTGATAGTTTTAAGTTTGTTGTACTTTCACTGTTCATAGTTTTTGATCTTGTTTTTCTCAGATAAGTCCCTTTAACATTTCATATAATAAGGGCTTGGTGATGATGAACTCCTTGAACTTTACCTTATCTGGGAAGCACTTTATCTGCCCTTCCATTCTAAATGACAGCTTTGCTGGGTAGAGTAATCTTGGATATAGGTCCTTGCCTTTCATGACTTTGAATACCTCTTGCCAGCCCCTTCTTGTCTGCAAGGTTTCTTCTGAGAAATCAGCTGATAGTCTTATGGAAACTCCTTTGAAGGTAACTGTCTCCTTTTCTCTTGCTGCTTTTAAAATTTTCTCCTTCTCTTTAGTCTTGGGTAATGTAATTATATGGGCCTTGCTGTGTGCTTCCTTGGGTCCAACTTCTTTGGGATTCTCTGAACTTCCTGGATCTCCTGAAAGTCTATTTCCTTTGCCAGATTGGGGAAGTTCTCCTTCATTATTTTTTTTCAAATAAGTCTTCAATTTCTTACTCATCCTCTTCTCCTTCTGGCACCACTATGATTTGGATGTTGGAATGTTTAGAGTTGTCCTAGAGGTTCCTCAGCCTCTCTTCATTTTTTTTTGAATTTTTCTGTCTTCATTCTGTTCTGGTTGAATGTTCATCTCTTCCTTCTGCTCCAAATAGTTGATTTGATTCCTGGTTTCCTTCCTTTTACTGTTGGTTCCCTGTATACTTTTCTTTATTTCACTTGGCATAGCCATTTCCCCCTCCATTTTGTGACCATATTCAACTGTTTCTGTGAGCATCCTGGTTACCAGTGTTTTGAACTGTGCACCTGATAGGTTGGCTATCTGTTCATCGCTTAGTTCTTTTTTTTTGAAGTTTTGAGCTGTTCTTTCATTTGGGTGCTATTTGTCTCAGTGTGCCTGTTATGATGGAAGGAGCGGAGCCTTAGGTATTTGCCAGGGTGGGGCAACCCAGGTCACTGCGTCGTGACGCTGTATGTGAAGGACGGGTCAGAAAGGGAACAGTACTGTTTGCTCAACTCTCAGCGACTTTCTCTCCTACCCACAAGCAAATTGGGCCCTTCTGGTGATGATTCCCAGGTGGGTGTGTTTGTGTACGTTCTAGGACCCTGTGAGTCTCTTCAGTGAACTCTCCTGTGAGACTAGGAGTTTCTCCCACTGCCACATCCCCCACAGGTTTTTATAGCCAGAGGTTTTAAGGTTTTCTTTTCCTGCACTGGAACCCTGGATTGCTTGGTGTGTCTTGCTCCCCAGCTGTCCCTCCTGATTTATCTGCATGCAAATATGGAACCACCATCTGCCTCTTCTCCTGGTCCTCCAGCTACTACCTTGCTGCCATCCTTTCCACTCTGGCTGCTTATCTCCACCCCTCCTACTGGTCTGGATGAATATTTCTTCTTTAACTCTTTTGTTGTTGGACTTCAATAGAGTTCGATTTTCTGGTGGTTCTGGTTATTTTTTGTTTTTAAATTTGTTCTTGTCCTTCTTTTGGCTGTGCGAGGAGGTAAAGTGTATCTACCTATGCCTCCATCTTGGCTGCAAGTCTTGACTTGCATTATTCATTTATGTCCATATATTTATATTAAAAAATTCACACACAAGTGAAAATGGAAAAATTTCCAATACCTGATTTCTGTTGCCTATTTTCCACTTGCAATCATATACTTAAGTACCTTTTAACCCCATAGAAAAATATCTAATATTCAGAACTATTTATAACATGAAGAAGAGAAATTTTTTTTAAAAAATGAAATGTTTCTCATCATAGTGGATTCCTAAGCATGTTCTCCATGTATACGGTGTGCTAGTTGGATATCTTTTGGCACAACTCTTACACTTTTGGCATGGACAGCACACAGGTTGGTGTCTTCAAAAAGGCCAACCAGGTAGGCCTCACTTGCCTCCTGCAAAGCATCAATAGCTGCAGTCTGAAAGCACAGATCTGTTTTGAAGTCCTGAGCAATTTCTCACACCAGATGTTGGAAGGGAAGTTTGCAAATCAGAAAATCAGTGGACTTTTGATAGCGTGTAATTTTGTGAAGTGTCACAGTACCAGGCCTGTGAAGGATGAGGTTTCTTCACCCCTCCAGTAGAAGATGCACTCTTGTGAATTGCTTTGGTAGCCAGTTGCTTCCTCAGTGCTTTACCACTGGTGGACTTGTAGGCAGTCTGTTTTGTACAAGCCATGGAATAGAGACCTCTTTACTTACCCCCTTTCTCCTTCAGCTGGAGCTCAGTGAGCTAGAGAAGGCACTGGCATTAGAGAGTGATAGTGGCTGCGAACACAATTCTGTAATTGGGCTCTTGCCTTCATGAAATTAGTTGTTTCAGTTGGTCATGGCACAGCCTAGCAGCCTGCCTGCTGCCTCTTTGTAGAGAAGAGAAAGTAAGGTCAAAAATAGTCATTATTTAGAGGTGGGGGAATACAGCATTTTTTGTCATCAAAAAAGTCCACAAAATACTGAGCAGGAAAATTAAAAAAGCAACACGGAAAGTATCCTTGGTCCTGTTCAGTCTTGTGGTCCAGCTCCTCCCAGAGCACTGGTTATTGTTGGGGTGCTTAATGCAACCCCAGAAGGACTTATAGCCTAGGAAGGCTCATAGAAAGGCCATTAAATGTTCATGGTGATAAGAATAGAGAGTATGTTGCAGCAAAGGGAGAGGCTTAAAAAAGGAGTCCCCTTCAAAGTGGAAAGATGAAAGCTGAGAAGAGATATGCTCCAAATGAAATGGGTAAGATGAATAGTGACTTCATCAAATATGGATCAGTGGAGTGAGGGGAGGTGTGTCTTACATCGGACATAGAACTTTTGAGTAAACACAGGCACATCTAACTTTCAACAGATGATAGGAAACATAGGAAATGTATTCTTCAAAAAATGTATCTACAAATGGAAATGGAGTAAAGGTGCAGGTAAGTTTGTGAACCTGAAATGTGCTCTGTAATGGAACAGTAGAGGAATTTAGAATTTTTGAGAACCTTGCTACAGAGGTTGAGGTCAAGGGCAGCCCTATTTTTCCCATAACATGTCTTTTAGTGGAAAGAATATTTATAAATGAAATAATAGATCTTTGTGAACTTGGCTTAGGTTCAGTTTCCTCATCTGTAGAATAAGGATAATAATAACATTGGCTCAAAAGGCTGTCGTGAGGATAACATGAATCAGAACATGTGAAGCAAGAACTCCATAAGTGTTAGCTACTGTCATTATCATTATCATTATCATCACTATTATTCTATTATAGAAATAGGTCTTTTGTAGAACACATCTTTATAGACTAATTGAGCAAGTGCCTATTTACTTTATTGCATTAATGATGCATAAATTGGAGCCCAGGAGGATAAAAGGTTTTTTATGAAGTAATAAATCTTGAGTACTTCGTCTCCTCTATTAATTATCACAAACTCCTAGAGAAATAGTATGTGTAATCAATTTCAACATAATGCAAATGTTGCTGACTGTTCTTTTGAAAATCGGTTTTGAGTTGTTTGTTTTGGATACAAGAAAATTTATCAGAAGATTTCAATATGCTGTCTTCCATCATTTCTTATGACTTACCACTTAATAGCTGTAAAATGTTTGATATTTATGTACTATCAATTAAATCATTTGTACAGAATTTCCTCACTACAGGCCAAGTTGCACATTGTTAACATAAAAGCAACATCTTTCTTTTTTGTTCTGCTTTTTTAGCTGTGTTTGTCAGGTCATCATAAAGGCCAAATCTCCTTTAGTACCCACTGAATTGATTAACAGGATCAAAAGTAAAATACATGGTAACCTGAGTCATGGAAACTTCACACAAGATCAATTGACATTATTGGTAAAGTCTGAACATGTTGCAGTGAAAAAACTAGGTAATTTGGGTGGGGGTATTTCTGTATGAATTCACTCCCCTTGTTATAAAGCTCATAATGCATACGTAGTAAAAGATCGTGAATTCAGAGGGGAGAGAAGTGGTCTTTGTGTTCCTTTCCACATCCTCAGTGCCCAAATGCCCTGAAAACCTTTCTATATCTATCTATATCTATATTTAATCTATATGTATATCATCTATCTCATCTATCTATATAATCTATATCTATATGTATCTATAATCTATATATCTGTCTAGAAAGAGAGAGAGCCAGAGGGGTTAACAGAGGCTGTTGGTCAGCTCTGTCCATCAGTGGCATGGAATTATTGTCTCTCTTGTATAAATATCCATAGACCTGGAGAGCTTCCTAATTACCCACAATAGCTGCCCAATAGATACTTGCTAATTTATCAATTGATTTAGCCAGCCTGTTCATTTTGGAAATTGATCTGGGAACAGTCCAGAATTTCTCTCATGGACATTTTCTTTTTAGATGAGCAAAGTTTTAATGGTAAAAGAAAACCTATCAGGCCATTCTACTTCATTCTCATTAATACCAGCTTTCTTCCTTTTCCCCAATAGAATGTGGTAAAAATATTGAGTTAATCCAGATAACACACATGACAACAAACTAATTAGGTGGTGGAGGACAGGCTGTGATCGCAAATGAGAGTGAGATAGGCAGAGCAATGTTGAAGCCACAGGCAGAGCTGCCATGCAAATCATGCTAATGCATATGTCCTGAGAGTGAGCAGAAGGCCCCTTTCATCCTCACTCACAGATGAGATGGGGATGGCTGAGCAAGGCTATTCAGGCCACTTCTTGGACCACTCTGTCAACACTTTGAGGGAAATATTTTTGGAATCAAGATCACAAATCCAGCAGGTGGTCAATAAAAACTGGGAACTTATCACATAAATAGTTTAGGTCGTATTTTATTAAAGTGACAACACTTGGCAGCAAAATCTTGCCCTCAGGACCAATATCAGAACAGGCTCTTGTCTATGTTGGTGATAGCAGATACATTGAGTTTACTATAAGCAAATCCATGCCAGAGTCCATTAAGAAGCAAGGAGCTATCCAGAAAGAGAACATCCTTTAGTCTGTTGTCATTGCACCTCACACTATTAACAGTGGGTACCTCAGAAGAAGGGCACCTGCCAGGTGGGGACTTTGATTTTTACTCTATGCCTCTTTGTGTGGCTTGAATAATTTTCACGGTATGTGTATCATTTGTAAAAACAAAAACGAAAAACCTATGTTGTCAATTGGTAGTTTTAATGAAAAAGACTAAATGTGAGGGTGTACTGGGAGGCTTACTGAAAAAAAAAAGGTTTCCATTTAATGCTATTTTCAGTAAAGCCTGATTTAAATGGTCTGTTCCAAAAAGTTTCCTCTTTTCTTTGCTGATGTTTGTGCACAGGTAATAATGCCTTTTGCTCTTTAAAGTGTGCATACATTTTCTCTTCAGAGCCGGGAAAGTGCAAAGCCGATGAGACAGCCTCTAAATACAAAGGAACATATAAGTGGCCCTTAACCAATCCTACTGAGACAGCTCAAACTAGATGCATAAAAAATGGGTCTGGAAAAGCTACTAGAATCTGGTATGTACTGGCCAAATTCTAAATGCTAGTTCAGATACACAAAGATCTGCCAATTGGGGGCATGTTTTAAGTGATATGTGTGACTATGTTCCTTCCCTCCCCTGCTACCACGAGTCTTTCATTCTTTTGGACCTACTTAAGCATACAATGCAACATACTCAGAAACCAGAATTTCCAAGAGAAAAAAAGTCACTCATTATCCCATCACCTGAACATGGCTGTTTTCAGGTTAGCTAGTCATTCACTGCATTCCTTTGTTTTATGTAGTGATAATCAGTCCTCATATCAACAATGGAATTTGTCCTTTCACTCGATGATTTATCAACATTTTCCATGGTTTAAAAAAATATTTTATTTATTTATTTATTTTTAGAGAGAGGGTAAAGGAGGGAGAAAGGGAGGGAGAGAAACATCTATATGTGAGAGAAACATCAATTGCCCCAGCAGGGGACCAGGTCTGCAACCCAGGCATGTGCCCTGATCAGGTATAGAACTGGTGACCTTTTGCTTTGTGGGATGATGCCCAACCCATTGAGCCACATTGGTCACAATGGCAAATGGCCCTTTTTGGCTGGAAGAATTAAAGAAGGGACGCTGTGGTATAGAGTACTATGTTTGTTTTGACTTAATTCTTGAGGCAATGTGAAACCAGAGTGAGAAAGTGGCATAATGACAACCACCCTTTAGGAAAATCTTGCTAGCTGTGGTATCGAGTATAGCTGTGTGTGTGTCAGGGGTGGGGGGTGGACAGCTAGAATACAAGACTGCTCTAATTGTGGGCAAGAGATAGTAAGGGCCTGCACTAGAGCAGTGGCTGTGTGGTTGTAAAGGACAGGATAAATGGGAGCCCTGAATTTGACATTTTGTAGAAGCTGCATGATTCACTGACTAATTAGGTATAAGGAATAAGAGATAGACTACAATTCAATATGTTCTGCTCCAAAAGAGAGATTTTAAGCTTCTTTCAAAACCTGCTGCCCCTCTGGTGTGCCCTCTTAACTTAATGGCATAAACCATTAACAGCAGCAAGTAATAGAAGTGGGGCTGATGATTTTAAGAAGGAAAATGATAAAGTCTACAATAGAAGAGTGACTTGGTAAATTATTATGGTCAATCAATGAGTTAGCTTCTGCAGCAGATTTTCCAAATTGTCATTAAGAAGGTGACTGTCACCTTGACCAATGTGGCTCAGTGGGTTGGGCATCATCCCACAAAGCAAAAGGTCACCAGTTCTATACCTGATCAGGGCACATGCCTGGGTTGCAGACCTGGTCCCCTGTTGGGGCAACTGATGTTTCTCTCACATATAGATGTTTCTCTCCCTCCCTTTCTCCCTCCTTTACCCTCTATCTAAAAATAAATAAATAAAATATATTTTTTTTAAACCATGGAAAATGTTGATAAATCATCGAGTGAAAGGACAAATTCCATTGTTGATACGAGGACTGATTATCACTACATGGGTACTTCCTTGTGTCTTTCTCTGCTTATGTCTTTTCCTCTGCTGCTGCTGGTGGTGGGGGAGCTTTTTCCATTTCTGTCCTTTCAGCGAACAGCTTAGCTCAGTAGTTGCAAATATGTGTTCCTTGCTTGGTGGGTTGATAGATTCAGTTCTGTTTATACTGCTTTTCTTCTCCTATTTTGCCTGTTAAATGTAGTTACACTTATAGTCTCAAACCACCAAATTGCAAGCTCCTCAAGGGATCAGACCCTGTCTTGTTTGTCTTTGCTACTTACTACCAGTCCTAGAATATAGTGGGTGGTCAAAAATGTGTTAGTTGACTTGACATGAACTGGTTTGAATTGAATGAGGCATACAGTAAGGTTAGCTAATGAGGGCCAATGAGATACAGAGGATGCTACACTAATTTCCTTGAGTAAATTAATATGCTGAGATAGAGACCGCATTCTAACAGGAATGGAGGTAAGAAGGGAAAGAGAGGATAAGGAGTCATATCCAGGAAGGCAAAATCTCTACCTTGGCTCTTGATCTACTGGACATTGCCATGGCCCATCTCAGGCTCTCTTGCCTATTTGTATCTCCTACAGGGGACCCTAGATTCACTTTTTCCCCAAGAGCAAAGTTTTCTTCACTTTACAAACACCAGCCTCCTACCTTTGCTATCTCAGCCAGGAGGCTAGGAGTGGGTGAAGAAGTGAGGCATGCCAAAGATAAACCACAGACCTTCACCATCTGCTTTAAGAATATTATGGCATCAACCACTACTGAACTATTTTGTTCCTCTCCTCTCTTTTTCAGCTCAATCAGTATCGACACTGGCAAATCTCAGTGGGGAAAACCAAAGTTTAAACAATGCTACTTGCTTCAAGACCTTTCTAATAAGATTGTGGATCTTGCTAATATTACTATCAGTGATGGTAAGACTGTTCTGTACAAATTGAATAAATAGCAGAACCTCAATTAGTCTACTTGACCTGATACCAGAAAGAGTATAAGCAAACCTCACATAGGAAAATCTACCTTACAAAAATCCAGTTTCAGAAACTAGGTAGTTAATGTTGGTGGAGGTGGGAATGGGGCATGACAAGTTAAGACTATCAGTGTTTTTGTTTTATAAGGTTTTCATTTTATAATTTTGGCTAATTATTTTTATTTCATTTCATTTTCCAAAATTTTAATAAAGAATACTTCATATAGTTTAAAATTGAAAAAAATACAGGGAAACATCTCCTTCCCATTGCTGACCCCAGTCATTCAGTTAATATCCACAGAGATATTTTATGCATCTATAAAGAACTTTATATATGTATATATACATATACAATAATATACATATATGCATATTCTCCTTCCTTTTTTGTACACAAAATGGAGCATACATACATGCTGTTCTACACCTTGTTTTTCTTTTAACAATATATTGAAGAAATGATCATATTAATATATGAAGAGCTCCCTCATTCATTTTCCCATTGCATTGTATTATACTGTTTGTATTTCTTTAACCTGTTTCCTATGGATGGACATTTAAGTTGTTAATAACATTTTTAAAAAAACTTGTAATGGGTATCATTCATATGTCATTTGTGCAAATTGGATATTCTTGAAGCATAAATTTCTAAAGTAGAATTGCTAGGTTAATCATACTTTTGATGGTGTCAAAATGCTCTCTGTAATAGTTGCACCAATTTATACTCCCACTTACAAGGCATGAAAGTGCTTGTTTCAGAATCCCTACATCCAACACAGCATGCTATCAGATTTCTGGATCTTTCATGATTTGATAAGCAGAAATTGATATCTCAAAGTTGTTTAAAGCGTTTTATGGAGATATTCACATATAATAAAATGTACTTGTTTAATGTGTACAATTTTGTGATTTTTAGTGTTTTCTCTAGATTGTGCCATCACCACTAATTCCAGAATATTTTAATCACTCCGAAAAGAAACACTGTACATATTAGCAGTCATCTTTCATTTCCCTATTCTCCAGTCCTTGGAAACCTCTAACCAACTTTGTTTCTTCTTCTTCTTCTTTTTTTTTTTTTTGGATCAATAATTTTATTTTTTTCTCTTTTATTATCTATTTATTTATTTACTTATTTATTTATTTTTTAAATACATTTGTCTCTGCCTCTCCCCCACCACTTTCCCTTGCCCCTCCTTCCTTCCCTCCCTCAGCTCTTCCCCTTTGGTTTTGTTCATGAGTCCCTGCTATATGTTCCTTGACTTTCCCCTTCCCTTCCCTTTCCCTGCTCCCCCCTCCTTCCCTCTTGTCTCTGTTGATATTTTTTTCCTTTCAGTGTTGCTGGTCATATTTCCTTGCATCTTTGTATTGTTGGTTAGGTTCCGCTTATAGGTGAAATCATATGGTATTTGTCTTTCGCCCCCTTGCTTATTTCGCTTAGCATAATGCTCTCCAGTTCCATACACGCTGTCGCGAAGTTTAGTAGTTCTTTTTTTCTTTCTTCTGCGTAGTATTCCATTGTGTACATGTACCATGACGTTTTGATCCAATCATCTACTGATGGGCATTTAGGTTGCTTCCAACACTTGGCTATTGTAAATTGTGCTCCTATGAACAATGGGGTGCATAGGTTTTTCTAAATTGGTGTTTTGCTGTTCTTAGGGTGTAGCCCCAGCAGGGGAATCACTGGATCAAAAGGCAGTTCCATTTTCAGCTTTCTGAGGAAATTCCACACTGCTTTCCACAGTGGCTGCACCAGTCTGCATTCCCACCAACAGTGGACTAGGGGTCCCTTTTCTCCACAGCCTCGCCAGCACCTGTTGTTTGTAGATCTGTTTATGATGGCCATTCTGACCGGTGTGAGGTGGACCTCATGGTGGTTTTGATCTGCATTTCTCTGATGGCTAGTGATGCTGAGAATCCTTTCAAATGCCTCTGGGCCCTCTGTATCTCCTCCTTGGAAAAGCGTCTGCCCAGGTCCTTTGCCCATTTTTCGATTGGATCGTTTGTCTTCTTGGAGTGGAGTCGAGTGAGTTCTTTATATATCTTGGAGATCAAACCACTATCTGATGTATCATTAGCGAATATATTTTCCCATACGATTGGCTCCCTTTTCATTTTGCTGATGTTTTCTTTTGCCATGCAGGAGCTTCTTATTTTGATGAGGTCCCACTTGTTTATTCTTTCCTTTATATCCCTTGCTTTAGGAGACATATCATTAAAAAAATAGCTGTGTGGGATATCTGAGAGTTTCCTGCCAAAGTTCTCCTCTGGGACTTTGATGGTGTTGCTACTTATATTTAAGTCTTTTCTCCATCTTGAGTTTATTTTTGTGAATGGTGTCAGCTGATGACCCAATTTCAATTTTTTGCATGGAGCCATCCAGCTCTCCCAACACCATTTGTTGAAGAGGCTATAATTGCTCCATTTTATGCTTCTGCCCCCTTTGTCAAATATTAGATGCCCATAGAGAGCTGGGCTTATTTCTGGGCTTTCTAATCTGTTCCACTGGTCTATGGATCTGTTCTTGTGCCAGTACCAGATTGTTTTGAGTATAGTGGCTTTGTAGTATAGTTTGATGTCCGGTATTGTGATTCCCTCCTACTTTGTGTTTCTTTCTCGAAATTGCTGTGGCTTTTTGGGCTCGTTTATGGTTCCATATAAATTTTTGAAATGTCTCTTCTATTTCTGTGAAATACATCATTGGTATCTTAATAGAGATTGCGTTGAATCTATAAATTGCTTTGGGTAGTATGGATATTTTGATGATATTAATTCTTCCAATCCATGGGCACGGTATATGCTTCCATTTATTTGTGTCTTCCTTAATTTCTTTTTTTCAATGTTGTATAGTTTTCTGCGTACAGGTCTTTTACGTCTTTGGTTAAATTTATGCCTAGGTACTTTATTTTTCTTCTTGCTATATCGAATGGTATTTTTTCTCTGATTTCTTCTTCTTCTATTGCATTGCTGGTGTATAAAAATGCCTTTGATTTCTGAATGTTGACTTTGTATCCTGCTGTTTTGCCAAATTCACTTATTAGGTTGAGGAGTTTTTTGGTAGAGTCTACAGGGTTCTCTATGTACACTATCATGTCATCTGCAAACAATGATAGTTTTACTTCCTCCTTTCCTATTTGGATGCCTTTTATCTCTTTCTCTTGTCTGACCGCTGTGGCTAGGACTTCCAATACGATGTTGAAAAGAAGCGGTGAGAGTGGACATCCTTGACGTGTTCCCGATCTTAGTGGGAAAGCTTTCAGTTTTTGCCCGTTGAGTATGATGTTGGCTGTAGGTTTTTCATATATGGCCTTTATTATGTTGAAGAATGCTCCATTTATTCCCATTTTGCTGAGTGTTTTGATCATAAATGGGTGCTGTACCTTATCGAATGCTTTATCTGAATCTATCGAGATGATCATGTGGTTTTTGTCTTTTCTTTTATTTATGTGATGTATCATGTTTACTGATTTGCGTATATTGAACCATCCCTGCATACCTGGGATGAATCCCACTGTTCATGGTGGATAATCTTTGGAATGTATTGCTGGATGCGGCTTGCCAATATTTTGTTGAGGATTTTAGCATCTATGGTCATCAGCGAAATTGGCCTGTACTTTTCTTACTTTGTAGGGTCTTTATCTGGTTTTGGGATCACGGTGATGTTGGCCTTATAGAAAGTGTCTGGGAGTCTTCCCTCCTCTTGGATTTTTGGAATAGTCTGAGAAGGACAGGGGTTAGCTCTTCCTTAAATGTTTTGTAATATTCTCCTGTGAAACCATCTGGCCCTGGGCTATTGTGTGCCAGGAGTTTCTTCATTACTGCTTCCATTCCCCCAGCTGTTATTGGTCTGTTCAAGCTTTCTGTTTCTTCCTCCTTTAGTGTTGGAAGATTATACTTTTCTAAAAATTTGTCCATTTCATCAAGATTTTCAAATTTCTTGGCATATAGTTGTTCATAGTAGTTTCTGACAATCCTTTGTATTTCTGTGGTATCAGTTGTTATTTCTCCTCTTTCATTTCTGATATTATTAATTTGGGTCCTCTCCCTTTTTTTCTTGATGAGTCTGCTTAAAGGTTTGTCCACTTTATGAATCTTTTCAAAGAACCAGCTTCAGGATTGGTTGATCCTCTGAATTGTTCTTTTTGTCTCTATGTCATTCAGTTCTGCTCTAATCTTGACTATTTCCTTCCTTTGACTTGCTCTGGGATTTATTTGTTGTTGTTTCTCCAGTTCTTAAAGTTGTAGTGTTAGGTCTTTTATTTAAAATGTTTCTATCTTTTTTAGGTAAGCCTGTATTGCTATGAACTTCCCTCTCAGGACTGCCTTTGCTGTGTCCCATAGGTTTTGGACTGTTGTCTGTTCATTTTCATTTGTTTCCATAAATTTTTTGATTTCTTCTCTTATCTCATTATTGACCCATTCATTGTTTAATAGTCTACTGTCCAGTCTCCATGAGTTTGCAAGTTTTTGTAGTTTCTCTTTGAGGTTGATTTCGAGTTTCAAGGCCTTGTGGTCCGAGAAAAAGTTTGGTATTATTTCAATTTTCCTGAATTTGCTGAGGTTTGCTTTGTGTCCTATCATGTGGTATATCTTGAGAAACTGCCATGAGCATTTGAAAAGAATGTGTATTTTTCTTCTTTGGGATGTAAGGTTCTATATATGTCAGTTAAGTCTCTTTGATTCAGTGTGTCATTCAGTGCCACAATATATTTATGAATGTTTTGTTTAGAAGATCTGTCCATTTTTGACAGTGGGGTATTGAAATCCCCTTCTATCAGGGTATTGCTGTCTATATCTTTTTTAAAGTCGTCCAACAATTTCCTTATATACTTGGGGGCTCCTGTATTGGGAGCATACACGTTTACAATGTTGATGTCTTCTTGATAGATTCTTCCTTTAAGTATTATAAAGTGCCCCTCTGGGTCTCTCTATGGCCTTTTTTTTGAA